TGAGTAGGCTCTCATCCTTTGTGCCATGCCACGGCCATGAACTGTGACAAAGTGGTGCCCTGTGTGAGGAATAAGTTGTTGCTGCAACTCAGTGAAAGAAGATTGATTTCCCAAAGCCTGGAAAAAGAACAAGGATGCGTCTGGCTCTTCATCCAGGTAAGGGAACAAAGGCAGCCATGGGATAGGCTGACACATATGAGTTTGTTTGCTCTTCTTTTTGCTCTTTTATTGTTTTCATATGGTATGGATCAAGCTTTATCCAAAGAGAAAAAGCAATTTAAGCAACATTTACAAAGTCTTTTAAAGACAGCTGGATGTAATGTTTCTGAACCTTAACTTATTAAATTATTGATAGTTATTAGATAACAATGTACATGGTTTCCTCTGGAGGACAGCCTGGAGGTGGAGGACTGGGAACATGTGGGCAGAAAATCGAGACAGTCTTTAGGTCCTGTAAAAGCTGTACACCTTGCTATCTGACATCTTTGCAGGATCACTATTCAATCTACTCCAGCAAAGGAAGTTCCCCTAAAACAGCTTTCTCTTCCTCCCTTGGCTGCCTCTGAGAGTCTCCTTCTGCCTCCGACCCCCTAAAGAGAAGTAGGGAATAATACCATATGCCAGTTGGACTTGTTTTTTAAAAAATAGAAGTAGGCATACTACCATATGCCAATTGGACTTGTTTTAAAAAAAATAGAAAAAGAAAATAAAAATACAAGAAAAATGGAAAAAGGAAAGGAATATATTTTTTTAAGAGAAAGCTAAAGACAACAAAAGTCAAGCCAACAAGTTATGATAAAGTGGGACCGATTTATGAGGAAAAGGGAACCGCCATCAGTATATTTTACAAAGGCTCAAATACACACATATCTGAGCCCAAAACTATAAAGCTTAGAGGAGTGTCTCCAATCTGTCCTATGATTTTCTTTCCCTCTCTCTCTCTCTCTCTCTCTCTCTCATTCTCTCTCAGAAAAGTTAAAAAGGAGTCATTCAGGTTCTTTGATAATTGGTTTTCTGCTTGGCAAAGTGGTTGAGATTAATTGTAGCTTTTGTCTTTGAAGGCATGTTTTGCTAAGGAGTGGAGATCCACCCTGAAAAAGTTTTTGGTCTTGGTTGTCTTTCTGCCCTTGAGATGGTTGGGATTTGGTTCTTCGTGCTCTGGAGCAGTTTTCTTCTCTGTTGCTGCTGCATTTGGGACCAGGTTTCCCTCTATCTGTGACCCTTCCAGAGTGAAAATGACCTTCACTTTTCTCTGGGCCATATTCTTAACAACTTTGACATTCAGACTCTCAAAGAATAGTTCAAAATTATCAGCCTTTCTACCCTTAGAAAGAACTGGGAATTAGATTCTTTCACTTCCCTCTTGCTTCAGGAAGGCTGTTCTAGGAGTTTTGGGGAATGTGGCTCCAAAATTACTTCTGTGTACCCATTTTACATGTACCTCTGGGCAATGCCCCCACAGTTATTCAATTTCTTCTTGGCTGGAAGAATGAGTCTCATCACAAGAACTTTCCTCGGCAAGAAGATACCACTTCAACAAGGGCTTCAAGGGTGAAAAGTACCACACTTTACCCTGTGCTTGGTTTGAATCTCAGCTCCAAGGCTTTAAATTCTCTAACCATAACCCTTCAATGAGGTTCTAATCTACAGGAGTGATACTGTATTAGACAATGCTTCTGTCAAAAGTAAAGAGTGATGTGAGCCGAAGTGATGGTAGTATCTGACATTTTGATGGCAGTTTCACTAAAGTGTGGTCCAGATAGGAATTCAGCTGTGCAGCTCAGCCCAGCCTAAGCAGTTTCCTAGTGGGGGCTCTGCCATCCCACTTTAGTAGTGAACAGTTTTTACAGCTGCTCAACTCACACTTGAGATTTAATTTCCAGAGTCCATTAAGTCTAGGATGGTGCAATGTGAGAGTGTGTTTTAGTGTGTGTGGCAATGGGTCCTCATGCACAGTAGGCAATTGCTCTACCAGTGAGCAACACCCAAGTCTCAGCAGTACAATTTTAATAATGTTACAACATCAACAAGAACAACCCATGGCCAAACCTGAGTTCATATTCAATAGTAGGTTTGAACATTTTCATTATTAAAAATATATTAAATGAATTTTAAAAATTCATACCAATATTTAGAAAATAACAAATACCCAAATCAAATAAAGGAGAAGACAATCTATGAAGTTGAGTTATACAAGAAACTCAACATATACAATTTTTTTTTGAGACAGGGTCTCAGTACATAATTCAGTCTGCCCTTGAACTCATTATGTATGCCAGGCTGGCCTTGAATTTTCGACAATATTCCTGCCTTAGCTTTCTGAGTGCTGGGGTTATAGGCATGTGCCACTGCACCTGGCCCAAAATATGAATAATATAAGAGCAAAATAAAAGACAGATGACAGGAAACAGAGGGCTAGACCATTTTGAAATGGAAACAGGATCTAGAGATGGAGATGGAGGGAGAGAGGAGGAGAGGAGAAAGGGAAGTCAAAAGGATCAAGATGTGACACTCATATGCACCAACTTCCCACAATGTACGAATTCATTGTATACTGTAGACATGTATTAATAAAACGTTTTAAAAAGAGTGTAATTTACACATTTCTGGAAAGCATACTCAAAGAAAGTGGTAGATGTCAATAAATCAAAGAAGAGAAAAGATGAGGGAAGAAGACAAGGAAGAAGAAGCAGAGGAGGAAGGAGAAGAGGAGAAGAGAGAAGAAGAAGAGGTGGGAAAGGAGGGGAACTGCATCAAATTGGGACAAATCTGAATAAAATCTAGGAATGTTCCTGGTGAAATGGGAAATTATGAAGTCTTCTTGGATGGACTGGTGTAGGAAAGGGATTTCTAAAGTTGACAAACCCCATGAAACAACATAGAAACCTCTCAAATAAACCACTGTGAAGGAAAGTAAAGTGAGAAATTAAAAAGAGAACAAATTTGAGCTTCCCGAATGGTCCAAAACTCTGAAATTCTAAGTGGTCCAAAATTTAAAAGTTTCTGAGTACCCACACGACATCACAAATGGAAAATTCCACACATGAACTCACACAACAGATCACAGCCAAAACGCAGGAGCACTAAAAATGTACAAGACCCAGGCTATGTGTATAATATGTGCATGCAACATAAACCTACTTCATGCTTACACTCCGGTCTGACCCCTGGGATGCCATTATGTATCTGTACATGTGCCAAAATCTGAAAAAAAAATCAGAAACTCAAAGCAATTCCTGTGCCAAGCGCTAAAAGCATGGAATTCTGAACGTGTGTAAACAAATGAAGTGAGGACTCCAGAAATGACAAGACAATATTTAAAATATGCTTTCTGCCTGGGACAGCCTCAAGACAGCACTTGTAAGAAAATACGGAATTTTGGAAAGCTAAGAAGAGCTGAATGGCCACATCAGCTCAGACCAGGGATGCTAATCAGCCTCAAGACCCCTGGTCCCAGAGGTGCCAACAATAACTCCTTTTCTGAGGTGCTGCAGCGAGGACCATAGCTGCACTCACTGCATATCTGTTTATATTCAGGAAACATAGTCACCAATATGTTGTATTTCATGTGTCTGTTCATCTAAGAGAGCTGCCAGATATTATCAATAGGTCCTATGTTAAAAAAAAATCTTGGGAAGTATATGGATGTGTTTGCAACACAGGAATAGTCGATTGCTGGCAAAAAAAAAAAAAGAAAAAGAAAAGAAAAAGAAGGAGAAGGAGAAGGAAAAGGAGAAGAAGAATTCTATCAGGAGGAGTTCTATCAGAAGGAGGGGTGTTTCCACAGAGTGGAGACAGCAGCAGTAATTATGAGAAGCAGGGCTCAGACAAACAAGGAAAAGGCATTATTATATAAGTTGTGTTAATAAACATAACAATCTTTGTTTGACAGAATCAGTGGAAAAATTAATATTGAAGTGACCCAAAGTCAGTGGAAAATCACAGTCCATAAATATGAAAACACCAATGAAGTAACCTAAGCTGTCTGTATTTCTATCTTTAAATAGTATTGAGCCATAAAAGAAGAACAATATCATTTGTGGCAAAATGGATGAATCTGGAGGATGTAATGCTAAGTGAAAAAGTCCAGGTATAGAAAGATAAATATTTCAGAATTCTGTTCATCTGTAAAAACTAAGTAAGTTGATTTTATAGAAGTAGAAAATACAGTAGTCATGGCCAGAGGATGGAAAGGTTAGTGCAGAGGGAGAATAGAGAAATTACTTATCAGGGACAAAAATACAGTTAGGAGGAGTAGTATTTAGTGTCCTATCATGCAGTGGCATGACTGTAGTTAAAAATAATTTGTATATTCTAAAACAGGGAAAAGAAAGGATTTTGAATTAATCCTAACACAAAGAAATGATAAATGTTTGAGGTAATGGATATGCTAATTACCCCAATATGATACATTGTATACATGTATTGAAATACACTCTTCCCTATAAATATGTATAATTATTACGGGTCAGTCGGGTTTTTTTAATTTTAAAGGTCCAATAACTAGTCTATTAACTTCAAAGAATTTAAGTTTCGCATGGATTGATAAAGAATTTGCCCAACTGCCTTTCGCATTTCCTTTAAATGTATAAACACTCAGTAGAAGAGGACTCCATCGATTTTTATTAGTTTTTTCCCAACATTCCAGTCTCAGATATCTTTACAATGTAGCATTTTCTTGAGCAATCTCAACTGTTTTTCCCATAGGAAACCAAGTTTACAAGTTTCCGTGGGATTTTCAGTCCTAACTTGATTCTGGGTATTTCTTGGTGAGCTTTTCCTAAGAAATTAGACCTCACCAGATCAAAAACTTGGAGAGAATTTTGATCCTTAGCCATGATCTGTCTGCAGGCCCCCCGCCTCTTTCGGCTCTTCCCCACGACTTCTCAGCACCAGGAGGGGACCCGAGCGACCCCGGGGAGTCTCCCCTCTGCAGACCCTCCCCTGGGCGCGCAGCCCCGCCCCTCCCCTCCCGCCCGGCTGGCCCGACCCACGGACGCGCAGGCGCACTATATATCTTGAGCCACCGGCCCGGCGCTGCGGAAGGCGCTGCGCTGGGCTCCTCGCACTTCCTCTCCAGGAGTCTGCAGGGATCGCCAGTTCCAGAAGCTCCAGTTCGCGGAGGCCTTGCCCTGGTCAGACGGCGCAGAGATGTCGGAGCAAAGTAAGGACCCGAGCAACCCCAACTTTGCGGGCGAGGCCCCCAGGCCCGGGCCGCTGGGCAACCTTGGGGGGGCGGTGATAGACCCTCTGCTCGCTTCGCCCACCGCGCTCCTCACCCCGCCTCCGAGCCCTCCTGCAGGCCCGATGCCCTCGCCGCCACCGCCGCCGCCGCCCCAGGCCGAGATGGAGGAGGTGGACCCGAAGATTGTGCAGCAGGCCGCCGAGGAGGGCTTGGTCTGCCAGCCCCAGAGCGCGCCCCAGCCCGGCCCCGCGCCGCCCGCCCCGGCCCAGCTGGTGCAGAAGGCGCACGAGCTCATGTGGTATGTGCTGGTCAAGGAGCAGAGGAAGATGGTCATCTGGTTTCCAGACATGGTGAAGGATGTCATCGGCAGCTACAAGAAGTGGTGCAGAAGCATCCTCAGGCGCACCAGCCTCATCCTCGCCAGAGTTTTCGGGTTGCACCTGAGGCTGGTCAGCCTGCACACGATGGAGTTCGCGCTGGTCAAAGCCCTCGACCCCGAGGAGCTGGACAGGATGGCGTTGAACAACCGCATGCCCATGACGGGCCTCCTGCTCATGATCCTGAGCCTCATCTACGTGAAGGGCCGAGGCGCCAGGGAGAGCGCCGTCTGGAACGTGCTGCGCATCCTGGGGCTTCGGCCCTGGAAGAAGCACTCCACCTTCGGGGACGTGAGGAAGCTCATCACGGAGGAGTTCGTCCAGCAGAATTACCTGAAGTACCGGCGCATCCCCTACGTGGAGCCTCCCGAGTACGAGTTCTTCTGGGGCTCCAGAGCCAGCCAGGAAATCACCAAGATGCAGATCATGCTGTTCCTGGCCAGGGTCTTTAAGAAAGACCCCCAGGCCTGGCCCTCCCGATACAGAGAAGCTCTGGAGGAGGCCAGAGTCCTGCGGGAGGCGCGCCTCGCTGCCTCCTGCCCCTGCAGCAGTGTCTCCGAAGACTAGCGAGGTCTGGAGGCAGATTCAGAGTTTCTGAGCCTCACCAGGGCTGTGAAAGGGTGGGGCGGATCAGTAGTGCATTCAGAATTTACAGCGCAGTATATCATGTGTAACTTTAAAGTTTTCAGTATCGTGCTTTTATACCTTCACTGCAACATTGTATTCATTTGGGCACTGTTAAGTAGTGTTTAGGATTTATGCATGTTTGTTTATAATGAGTTCAGTTGGTGCTTTCGCTTTTGTGCTTTCTTGAAATTTTTGTACCAGAGATGTGCTAAACTTACGAAGTACATTGTAAAATTCCCCACCGTGTTCTTTATATGGGACCAATGATGTGTACTGGAATAGAGTTCTTCTGGAGAGTTGGGAAGAACTCACAGGAAAGCGGGCCTGACCAAGAGAAAAGTCGAGGCCCCTCTCAGTGACCTCACTGGGCACAGGAAATATCCATTGGGAGTGAACTATTTTGGACTGGAAAGGTCTCCATGTGGGCACTTGGCACGCTTCACTGCACATGTATACAACCTCCCTATGAATAAGCTGTACACATTAAAGATTCTTGTGATACAATCATTTCTGGAAGTGTACTTTGTCTTGTTAACCAAGGAGTGTGGGTGGGAATGCTGGCAAGAGTTCGCCATTGTGCACATATTATAACTCCTAATAGGATGGGAAAGTTGTTACTCATGAGTACCCATAATGGGTGAAGTTGGTAGGTTTATGTAACCTGTGTTCATAAAAAATAATAAAAAAAAAACTTTGGCACATAATAGAAAGGTCTAAGAACAAACAAAAATGCCCCATCATCACATTACATGGAAATAGCTGATACTATTTAGATAATTTCTTTCAGGGAGAGGAGCTAGTTCCTCACCTGGACCTTTGTGGTCCAGCAGTCTCTGAGTGTCAGTGGGCCATGAGGTCACCTTGAGAAGGTGAAGTGGGATGAGGGCGGGGGTGAAGGACAATGACTGGAGAGAAATCTCATTATGATGCTTTTAGTCCTGCAAAAGGGAAGGGAGAAAAGGGGAGCTTTAATAAGACCTGAAATCTTTTAGTCTCTGAGAGTGACAGAGGCCATTTGACCAAAGCTAGCGACTTTTCTGGGCAAGGTGGATAAAAGAGGAACACATGTGTGGCATCATGCCCCAAAGAAGTAAACTGGGGGTCATATTTGGGTGAGGAAATTATAATGAATTAGGAGCTGGAATCCCTAACACTTAGTAGATTTGTGCAGGTTCTGAAAATGTCATGAGGTCTTTCATGGGAGAGGGGGTGGGGACATTTCTGCAATAACCCGAGTAGAGGACACATGGCTTTGACAAGACCTCTTACACGGAGCCAATGTGTGTCTCACACGTTTAATTGTTGAGAAATCTTACTCACCTCCCCAAACCATATCAAACCAAATCAAAACATACCTGCCCCTTTTAATTTAAAACGAGGGTGCTATCCAAGGTGTTCCACTTCTGCATCCAGGCCACGGTCGTCATTTTTGCCCTGACGTGGTACCAGTCATTTCCCCTAATGCCCTCACTACGGATGCACACTTTGCAGCAACTCTAAGCTCTGTACACTTCCTGCAGTCAGACCCAGAACATGCCAAGCACAGTCCAGAATCACCTCCCTCTCTGCCACAAGACACAGAGAGCTACTCTCTAAGTGACCAGGGCCACTGACAGCCTCCAGCCATGCGGCAGAGGACCAAACCTTTGCTGCAGGACAAGACTGCCAGAAATGAGGGGCTGTCCCGACCAGGCACAGGGTGCAGGGCTTCTCCACAGCAGTGCTGTTCTGGAGACAGCCAGGCTTAGAAGAGGTGTGAATTTAATTTTTGCCACCTGGTCCTGAAGAGACAACAGCTTGGGGTATGGGAGGAAGCACTGAGCATCTCGCTTAGATTTTCATTCTGTGCACTAAATTAAAATATTTTCCAAATGGTTCTCCTGTAAGGAGCTGGGATGGGCCATTCAGGAAAGGGTCAGAGGACTGATCCATGTTCTCATCTATGGTAGCAGTGTGTTGACACCTAGACTGATATGGTGGGGAAAGATTTTCCTAATTTCTTGTAATGTGTGTGACCTTTTACCTGCCAAACAGTCATGCACACATTGTTCACTTTAATTAATTTCATTTTATTAAAGTCATGGAAGGCAAAAAAGGCCTTTGGAAATTTAATATAAATTGTGATGACACATAGCTTAAGCAGTCCCAGGAGGAAATAAATAATTTTAAACAGTATTATAATTAAATAGGAGGGAGATATTTTAAATAAACTGATCCAGAGTTTAATCTTCCTTCTTCTCAAAGAGTTAGGTATCACCCCTTCCACCTTGAGTCTTGAGTGATTCAAGATCACCTATTCCAAGCACAGATGTGGTCTAAATTTCTCAGGCAAATACACATGCTGTTTATAAATAAGTGCATTTTGTCAGTCCCTTCCTGAATGTTTAGATAATGAAGGGTAAGAACTATATCGGACCTGTGTACTGTTTTCCTGATGACGTAGGGTCTGGCATATGGATGTGCTTAATAAAATAGTTGTTATTCAGCTTAAGAAACTTAAAAATTAGAAAACACTTCCATATAGAAAACAAAATCAAACATAGTAAACAATAATCAACCAACCCAAAGTTTTTTTTAAATATGTCTTAATTTTAATGGCCTCAACTCTCCAATTAAAAGATACAGACTGGAAGATTCGATCAAAAATCCAATCATCTGTTGTATTGAAGTAACACGTGCAATGCAAAAATATATTCATAGACTAAAAATCATAGAATGAAAAAAAGATTTCAAGCACCAGGACCCCCAAAACAAGAAGGGGTAGCAATTTTAATTTCAGAAAATGTAAACTTCAAGCTAAAACTTATTAGATGTGACAAAGAAGGGCACTACATGAGCAACAAATCGAACATGAAGGGATAATACATATAAATTTTAATGTACTGAATACCAGAGCACCTATCTTCATGAAACATATTCTGCTGAACATCAAATATCAAATAAACACTAAAAATCATAGCCAGAAACCATAACCTTAATTATATGGACTTAATAGATATCTACAGAGTACTTCAGCACACTACAGCACAGCATACATTCTTTTCTGCAGCACATGGCACTTTCTCCAAAATATATCACATATGAGTCCACAAAGCAACCTTAAATAAATATAAAAGAATCAAAGTCACTCCATGTTTAATATCAGCCCTCTGTGCAATGAATAGAGAAATCAACCACAGAAGAAACATGAAAAATTTAGAAGCACCTGAAAACTTAATAACACACTTTTTGTTTGTTTGTTTGTTACCAGGGATCGAACTCAGAATCTTCTTTTTTTCCCCCCATTAACTTTATTGGTACATTTTAGGTATGTAGTACAGTTAAATTCATCATTGGGATCTCGTACCATGACATGAGTCTCTTGGTTCTTATTTTTCCCCTTCCCTTGGCCTCCCTTCACCCCCTCCACCACTCCTTATTTACAAAGACCTTGTTTCCATTTTTTTCCTCTTCTCATATTTTTTCCTTTCCCTTTTTTCCCTTCCCCT